AATCCTCACTAAAACAGTCATGTCAAGTCAAGTCACTGTTATTTATGTGGCACATTGAAAACAACAGCTGTTGAACCAAAGTGCTTTCCAGTAGAATGATGAGATCGTCACTGTGAAGTTTATGTGTTCGGTTCAAGACCCCACAGTGTCATTTGTTATGCACGTTACTCGACTAGTTTAAATATTACAGTTAAAACTGGACAAAATTATATAAAACAGTAATTTATCTGACTAAATGAAATAACATGATTAAGACCCTACAATATTATTATTTATACAATGACCCAACAAAATCTTACACATTGTTTAAAACAAACAAACAAACAAACATGCAAATCTGACAGCAAAGGTGCAGAAAAAATACATCGAAACAAAAAGTTGGAATGCTGTAACATTCAAAAACTGTCAAAATAAAAGAAATATCTGTAAAATAATGACATTTTAGTCAATTTAAATATAGTAAAATAGTCAAATTTGAGGATGCAATTACATTATATATGTACACACACACACACACACACACACACACACACAGAATATACATGTGGGCATTATTGAATGTTTTGGCCATTTATTTATTTATTTGTTTTTTTTAAAGCAATCAACATTTAAATAGTACATATTTCTGTTATTTAACTAGTTGTTATCTGAAATTTATCATAAGTTTTTTTTTTTAAAAATACTTTGAAAAAATAGAATTGTATGTTATTTATGGAAAATAATTAATGAAAAATAATGTAAAATAAAAAATGTTTTTGCTTATTTATTTTATTTTATGCTCAAACTTTGTAAAAGCGTGAAGTACAATTATATATATACATCTATATATAATTTTGTAAAGAAAATATTTTTGATGTGGACATTAGTTTTAGCCTTTTTTTTCTTACAATAGACATTTAAATAGTTTTCTGTAATTTTGCTAGATGTCGTCTTTAATTTGAACCTTTTTTTTTAAAACCATTTTTAAAATCTTTAATATACATACATTTAAAAAAAAAAGAAAAACCTTTTTTTTCTAATTTCTATACAGTTACGTTTAATTCTATAGTTCATATAGACCATTTGTTTTAAAAAATAAAATAAAATTACAATTTTGAAATGTAAACATTTTTAACGTAACTGTTATTTACAGTGGTAGGTTAACATGTAAATTCCATCCATCCATTGTCTATACACTGCTCACTAGGGTCATGGGGGGCTGGAGTCTATCCCAGCTGACTCAGGATGAAGGCAGGAGACACCCTGGACAGGTCACCAGTCTATCACAGGGCTACACTTAGAGACAGACAACCAAGCACACTCAAAGCAACACTAAAGCAGAGAGAAAGGAACAAATAGGGAAAGACGCACACTACCAGCAAACAAGAATTAACATTAAGAAGCTCTGCCACCTTTAGCTTCAAGGTGTGACTTAAGGAACACTGGTCATAAAGTGGCCCAGAGGCAGAAACCTGAGTTCATACATCAGTAATGTTTAGCTGAGTTAAACCACGAAAAGGCTTTAAAAACAAATAGTAAAATCTGAAACTCATTTCTGTATCTCACTAATAGCCAGGTAAATGAGTCAGAACCAGGCCGATTGTGCTGTCGGGTAAGTTTGGACTGTTTAAACCTCGTGTACAGAGAGTTAAAGTAGTTCAGCTGAGAGCTAATAAAAACACAGATTGTAGTTTCTAGGTCCTCTGGTGATGCTTCTGACCTGATAACAGCTTCACAGCACTGGACTGTTTAATAAAACTAAAACAAGGGACCAAGAACACACCCACATTTTTAACTCCACCATACTCGGCTGCTTGATACCTTTAAATATAATAAATAAAATAAAATCACAGGAGCTTTGGCAAACTCTCATTACAAAATCAAAAACTCAAAAACTGTACAGCTCGCCCCACCACCCTCTAAAATCGGATTTCCAACTTGCTGTTAATCTGTCCTGCTGCACCACCATAACATGATCTGAGCTCTTCAGGGGTTGAATAACATTTTTTTTTAAAATAAAAAAATCTTATTTCATACAAGTTTAAGTGAATTTGTAAATGGATCACGGTGGCTGTGATGCCATCCGTAACGGCAGAGATATCCACGTCTCCACTGACACAATAATTCAGTTGAAACGGTGTTGCTGCAGCTGCAGACCCTCTTGGGTTCCTTAAATATCCATACCCTTGTGTATCAGTGTTTTATTGTAACAGGATTTAATTTTCTGTCGGGCATACCGACGTGGGAAATGAGTCACTGATGTAGAGGTAAGTGGGTCAAGATGAAGTGGTGATGCCTTTACAAATAAATTACTGTGCTTCATTACGAGCTAAATTTAAAGCTTCCCTTGAGAACACAAACGGATTATGTCCAGCGCTTGGTTCTGGATGTTCATTATCAGAACCGTGTCACAAACTGCTTCACTCACATAAATACGTAAATGAGATGGAAACTGTCTCCTGATGCTTCTTGGATTCTGCAGAATCATCCACAGACTGGAGTGTTTCCACCTACCGCTCATCTTCGTTGAGATAAGATAAGATAAGACAAGATAAGATAAGTTAAGATAAGATAAGATAAGATAAGATAAGATAAGATAAGATAAGATAAGATAAGATAAGATAGATACGCCTTTATTTATCTCACAGTGGAGAAATTCACAGTGTTGTCAGCAGCATTACACATGGAGACACACATACTATACAGAAAAATGTACATATAAATATAAAAAATAGTGCCAACGAGTATAAAAGTACACATAAAAAGAGAACAGTGCAAACAGAGTACGAGAATGGGCTTCTGAATGGGGGTACATAGAAAAGATATATATTTATTTATATATAGAAGATAAGGAAAGGTGAAATTACAGGTAGTAACTAATAAAATCACATTACAAAGTATACATTTTGTAATTACTGTCCACATTTTATAAACAGTGATTTATTCTTTAGCGATGTTTGACTGAAAAACTGCACTATTTTTGCTATATTTAAATCAGAAATACAATATGTTTTCAGTATTTTTTTAAACAGCTATTTGCTGTTATTTGAAAGAAAATAATTTACATCAGGGATTGAAAATTTGTCAATAATTTTGAACTGTTATTTTACAGATTTTCCCTGTTTTGTTAAGTGACAGATAATAACCAGTGAAATCACTTTGAAGAGTATTAATTTACATGGTAACTGTAAAAACAAAATGTCTTTTACAATGTGTGACCATAAAATTAGACTGTTTTAATATATCAAAATCAGCTCCAATATAATTATTTTACAGGTATTTGCTTTTTTCCCACCAATCTTTTGATGTGGTCGTTATTTACAGCATTTACTGGCTTTTTCAAAGTTCACTTGTATATTAATACCTTTTTTCTGGGCATGTATTGGATATTATTTTTCATTTAACAAAACAGGGAAATCTGTAGAAGAATGGTAATTGTTTTAAACATCACAGTTAAAAACAGAAAGAATTTTTCTTTTTTTTTTTTTACAATGTACAATCTATTGCAAGCTAAAATGTCCATAAAAATCAAACTTTATTGCGATGAAAACAGACGAGGAGGTTAATGTATCTGTATATTGTATACTGAATTTGAATGCTGATTTGACTTGAATTTTGATTTGCATTTGATTTGATTTGATTTGAATTTTGAATGCTGTTGTTTTGTTGCTGATTTTATGTTGGTGTTGTGTTGTTTTTTGGTGTAGCAATTTCCCTGAGGTCTTGTACCGAAGGGATTAATAAAGTTTTATTCTAATTCTAATTCTAATTCTTAATGATAATCACCAATAATGAATGTAATCTGTTGTTTTCTTGTTTGTTCTGACAAGAGCTGAAGTTCAGGTTGCTGCTTCCAGCTCTGTTTCGTCGTCTTTCTTAGTGTTTATCTGAGTTTATGAAACACTTCCAGCATCAGTCAGCAGCAGGATCCATCTGAGCATCTCCAAAGACAAAGATCTTCAAACGTCAGAACAGCAGAAGTTGGAACAACAGCCCAGAATGTCAGAAACATCATTGAATAACTAAAACTATAAATTATTCCTGACATGGAGTCAAGATCAGTCCTGGTAATGATCATAGACTGTATAAAAGATGGACGTAGCAACCGGCCCTGAAAAATGAAGCCAACCCGGAAGTGTCAAAAACCTGCAATATCACTACGTCCACTAGTTGCTGGCTCCAAAAAGCCCTGGCTCCCATAGACTTGAACTGGAAGAGAAGTGATCACAGATCACGAAATACTGCATTCCTACAACTCAGGATTTTTTTCTTGTTAGTTTTCATGGTCAAATCCAGAGATCAGGTGGCCAATCTGAAAATAAATCAATACTGAATTTTTTAAACATCGTCAAAACTTTGCGGGGCAAGGGGCGTGGCTGACTTGATTGACAGTCGGCAGCGACCATACAGATGAAGCGAGCAGAAGGCGGTAAATGTGGGCGGGCAGAGATAAGATAAGTCACACCAGGAAGTCCGACAACTTCTGATGAAGGCTGAAGTGACAGCCGAAACTGTCAACGGGAAAATTATCTCGTTATCTCGGGAACACGAACGCCGTTTTCTCGAGATAGCGACATAATTATCTCGTTATCTCGGGAAAATGCCGTTTAAAAAAATGTGTGGCCATGACCGCTCTCGGCTTCTGTAGAAAGTTCACTGCTGTTACAGAAAATTCTTATAAGAGTGTTACCCTTTGTTTGTTGAATATTTTCTAGATTTCCTCATGTACACTGGCAGCAGATGGGCTTTAAGTATCATCACATGACCTGCACTTCATTTGTAATTCAAAAACGAATTTCTGTTCGTTGTATCAAAACGACAAATATACTGTTTCAGGAGTCAGGAAATGTTCGCGTTTTGCCTTTTGATACGATTTTACAGCCCTCATGAACTGGGCTTGTGCTTCATCGGCTTCAGGGGTTTAGTGTAACGTTGGTGCAGTTCCGCCTCCGGCCACCGGTGGCAGCTCTGAGCGGTGCTGCTGCTGCTGCTGCTGCTGACTGGGAGACGGAGCGAAGAAGACCAAGTGGTTTCCTGGAAATCAAACTAACTGCGTCAGCTTGTTGGAATACATTTCCGCGACTTTAAAAGATCCACATTTTCTCTCCTGGTGAGTATCAGCTCCCTCATATAACAATATTCCGTCCGAACAGTGAAGTTTTTGTCCTTCCTGAAGCCTCTGTACTGAAAAAAGAAGTTTTTCTTTCTTCTTCTTTTTTTGGTTTGTTTTAGTTTTGCTAATGTTGTTGCTGAACTTCTCTGAATTACACAGAGAGCTGCTTCTGTCATATCATCTGCTTTCACTGACAAGAAGAAGGTGATTCAAATGCCTTTAACACCAGACAGCTTTCATAAAGAATATTGACAATTACAGCAGCATAGCATGTGATATCATCTCCATTTCCGGGTTTTTACGAAGGACGGAAAATGGGTCAAGTACAAATAAATGTAGATAGAAATGATTAAATTAATACATAACAATATCTATGTCTTGCAAACTAACAAGGACACTGTTAAATGCATGTCCTGAATTTATTTTCACATTTCAATACATCAACTTTTTTGACCAACTATTTTAATAACTGATTAATTGGTTTTAGGTTTGTTTTTTAACGTATAAATTCTGTAATCTCAGTTTCTAAAATGTGAATATTTTCTGGTTTCTTTCTTCCTCTGTGACAGTGAACTGAATGTCTTTGGGTTGTGGACAAAACAAAACATTTTCATTTTGAGACCAAACAACTGATCGATTTTACAAGAAGAAAAAATATATTTAATCCACAATGAATAAATATTTGGTTGAAGCCATCTTTGGATTTGTTCACTTCATCCAAAAGCTGACTGGTCAGCTGGACGAACCAGACAGAAGCAAACGATTCCAACCAAATCTACATGATACTAGCTAACTTTGATAACTATCCAACTTTAACCTTGTTTCACCATGTTGCAGTGAGCCTACAGTTTCTATTATCCTGGGACCTTTGTGGTGTGTTTTGTCAGATCCTTCAGTCAACATCTATCAAACACCATGTCTCCATTTTATATTTCAGAAGCTGTTAGAAGCTCTCATGTCACCACCAGGGTTGTTCCTGTCTTTGTCCATATGCAGTTGGAGGTTTGGGTTCAGCCTTCATCTGATGCAGCACTTTTCAATGCTGTCTTCTAAATACTGTCTTTCAGTGTCCAGCAGCAGGCAGGATGTCTGTGACTATGACCAAGGCTGAAGGGGTCACTGTGTTCACTTTGACCTCGGACCCTCAAAGTGCTTGGCCTCCTCTGTGCCAGATCTTCAAGGGTCTTTGCTACAGTCCAGTGTGCTGCTCAGTGTCTCAGCACCTGAGGAGGAGCCAGAGAACTTCTCAGTCAGCACTGGGGGTGAGCAACAATGCTTCAAGATGCTCTCAGATTTTGAATTGATACGTTTTTCTTTCCCCATCTGATTCTGATTTAAACTTTGAATAAATCATATGTCCCTGCGTTGGAGCTTCAGGTGTTGTGTTTATACGAGATATTTCTATGAAACCACGAGAGAGCTGTGTTCTGCGTCGTGTTTGTAGTTCATATTGTGCTTCCTGTTTCACAGACTCTGCAGATCATGGTTGGGCTGCTCAATCTTGGCCTTGGAGCCATCCTCCTCAGCTCTCACATTGGCCCTTGGTGGCTAGTAGAAGATCTAATGTTTCCTTTTTGGTTGGGAGCATTGGTAAGCAAACAGATACTTGATTAGAGATTTTCTTCTCTACGTCATGTTTTTATTGTGTCATTGACTAAAATCCAACAGAACTTTTACTGCAGAAATTACAGCTGTTAGAGTCTTTACAATTTTTTAAAGGTAGCAGCTGCTTTGTCTCTGTCAGTGTGAGCACAGGATGAAGTGTCTTCACTCAATGAAAGATAATAGAAATTAAATACATGACTTTTTATTTAGTATTTGCATGCTAGAATAGAACTGTGATGATTTTGTTTTTCTTTTTGTCTTTTGTCTAGTTCATTGTGTTTGGCATCACGTGCATTTTGTCTGAGAAGTACCCCAGTCCATGTCTGGTGAGTAGTTCAACTTTTTATCTCAGAAGGACTTGTTCTATTTAGTGCTGTAGTCAACTGAAGCAAATCTAGGTGGACTGAAACACCTATTGGTCAAATCAGGAGAAAGAAATCTGCACATTAGCTGCAGATGAACTTAATGGGCCACAGTGCACTAGTAAAGTAAAAAAGTCAAGTAAAAAAGTCAAGTAGTATATTTGTTTTATACTGAAATTCGAACTTATATCTGGTTGGGCATAAACTAATGACTGTTGTGTTTCAGGTCATCCTCACTGTGGTTCTGAATCTGGCAGGAGTTGCTTTTGCCATTACAGCCATTGTCCTCTACAGCATCAGCATAGCAAACGCACGTACTTGGTGGAGTTGTGGCTTTGATTATGAGTCCTGGTATGAAAGACGTCATACAACAACTCCATCTCCGTCGAGGGACTTCTTGAGGGAGAGATGTATGGAGGCCAGAGAACTGTTTATGGTAAGTATGGAGGTTATTTCAGTAGCCAAAATCTAGTTGTACAACTTGCTTTTTAAAGCTACCGTTCATGATCATCATCTCCAGAGCTGCCTTCAGCTTCTGAAAAATGTGGATTTGCAGCTTTTCTCTGTTTTATATGATCATTGAACAAATACTTTGAGGTTTTACATTGATTTCACCCAGAAAAAATAATTGGAGACTTTATGTAGTCAATATTAGAAAAATGTCTCTTTTTATAACATATATGAGTGGAGTCTTTGACACAAAGTCATCAGAAATCCAAAATATTAAAGTTTAAAATATTTAAATACTGAGAAACTAAATAATGCAATCATGTATACTAAAATCTTTGTAATAGTTGAAACAAGCCAAGTTTGAAGGGGATTATTCGAGTAAGAACTTAAGCTGCTCATTTTTATTAACTCTATAATAAATGAAAATATGTTTAAATTACAGTTGCAAATTTCAAACACTTTCCTCAACCAATAGTGGGCCACGTCAATGATCAAAATTTGAATGATCAGTAAAATGAATTAAATACGGCAGATGTTTTTCCATTTGACAAACCATTTTAAACGCTGACATTTAATGTTCACTGCATAATCGACTCGTTGGCAATAAAAAAAAGTCAGTAAACCTAATTAAAAATCGAAATAAAAATGTAGATAAACTCAGTTGGTTTCAGCTAATTCTGACATTAGAGCATCTTCTTTGACTCTTTTCAAACTAATGTGAGCTGCTGCAGTAACTGATGGAGACTAGACGCTTCTCTGTGCACAGCCGCTCAGCTGACTGCAGCCTGCATGTGAGGCGTTAAGGGAATATCAGTAAATTGTAGGATCTCCAGATTACCAGAAATTCAGCCAGTGAGGCGTTTTAGGTACAGTTATTAATATTGTGCCTCTCAGAGATGCTCTGAATTCAGATGAAGGTTATTTTAAATCTTATTTTGATGCAAAGATTTGTACGTTAGCAGGAGTGTAGCACAACATGGAAGTGAGAGCAGTGCTGTGTTCATTGTGAAGTAATAATATTCTGTCCCTAGAATGAATTTGGATTGATTAAAGTAACAGTGATTACCACTTTGACCATAACTGTGCAGTCCTGCTGTTGTTTGTGTTTCTCCAGATGCTGCTGAGAGGAATAGGTGGCATCCTGATCGTCTTGTCGGTCCTGGAGCTCTGCGTCGTCATCAGCTCTGCTGTGTTGGGGATCAAGACTCTGAGGAGCAGATGGAATGAACCAAACAAGGTCGAGTATGAATGAACATATCTGTCCTTAAACCTGGTATTTAACCAGGAAATGTTGGATGAACACGTGCACAGTTTTTCAGTCCTTCAGTGTACGTTTCTGAACGTCAAATCTCATTCAGGATGTCACTTTCCAAACGGCTGACATCCTGGAAATAGTTTCTGTATGAAGTATATTCAGCACATCTTTGACATTGGTGAGTCCAGCTGACAAAAAGCAAACCACAGCAGAGTTACAGAGACACAAAACAGTTGTTAAGAGATGCACACTGACTATGAAGTGATCCCGAAACACATCAAAAGAGGAAGAAAAAGAGCACAATGATACTGGTTGTGGTTGGAGAATGAAGACAGCTGAAGGTTTTATTGAAGCACCAAGCGGCGACTTTACAGAATCCAAAATGGAAACATATGTTGGTTTGTTTGCACTTTGTTTCTGACTATCTAATCCAGTGCTAATTAATGCTAATTAAGAGTTTTAATGTGTTCAGTTTTGTTCTGCTCTGTAGAAAATACAGAAAAGCGGTTTGTGAGTTTGTGTGTATTCAGTGTGGTTCATGATTTGATTTGATCTTTTTCTGAACTTTCTCCATGTTCTTTGTGTCTTTCAGAGCGCTGAAGAGCCAGAATACTTCAAACCACTGCTGGATGAAGTCACCACTGATCCTGGAGCATGAATGGCGGCAGGAACTGGGACCCTGCAGCTTCATACCACTGACTCTGTACTGCAGCGTCAGTGAAGCACTCAAAGTCAGATGATACAGTCTTCATATTCTGACACTTTACTGAGCTTTGCTTAAAAATCAATGCACTTGTACTTTACTATCTCTGTTTGCCAATAATCTGCACTAAACTGAATATGCTGCTGTCCATTTTAATCTTTGTTTTGTATCTTTTAAAGTGATTATTTTTCTATCGAGGGATGTTCCTTACAGTCAAGATGTTTGTTGCTAGAAAGGAGGTTTGTAGATGTCCGTGTGGCATTTCGGGGGCTGTTCTGATTTCTCTTATACAATATCATGCATGTCAATAAAAATAAAGGTATCAAAGCTTTGGACTGTTTTTATGTGTATGAACCTTTAAAAAAGTGTCTGAAAGTTCAAACAGTTACATATTTTGCGTGCAAACAACATGTGAAGGGATGAAGATGAATTTAATACCAAGCTGTCATGAGATAGAATAAATAATCTGCATTAATACACTGTAAGTGCTGTGAGTCGCTGTAGTGAATTATTCAGTGGTGGAAAGTACATCTACTTCTGAAACATTGCTTTTATCATTTTATACTTCATTTTAAAGATCAGCTTTTGTGCAATACCTGATCCTGCCGAGTTAACTATTAACAGTTTGTGCTGTGTGTCACCGACTGCACTGACAACTACCAGTAAACTGCTTTAATCGTAATGAAAAACTTAACCTGATGATTGTCAAGCGAGTGTGTCTGTTCACTCCAGTCTGTGTCACAAAATCTGTTGAGTACTTGTGAGAAAGTCATCTCACTTCCAGGAAATGTGCATCAGAATTTCGTAATTATAACCAAC